TGCTTTTCGAGTTGGGCGAATTTTATTAAAAAATAATCATTAACTAGCATTTACTCAGTATTTTGCATGCCTGGATATTAATTTAAAATGTCTGTTAACGAGCTGTCTTTATCTCAGAATTATTTATTATCGCTCCATTGACATGATTTCCGTAATTTTTACTTATCGATGTCGACTTCTAGAGCGTACGATTACTATTTTTATTCAATATACGTGATACACATGCACATATTATTATTATCATAATATGTATATGTGATACATCAAAGTTAACGTAAACTTTGAACTTCTCTTACGCCATCTTGTATCCACAGGAGAAGATTTGGTAAATTTGATAAATTAATTTAATTCTTTTTTAACAAAAAACCATTTAAGTTTAAATTCAAAAATATATTTTGTTTTGAATAATTTGGTTTAAAACGTTCAGTCCTTTTTTATCTACCCTGTATATTTACGCACGTTTAGCGTACGCGCGTCCTCGATCTAGATCTATGACCCGAGTCGACGGAACTGTTAAACGATCGTACAACTTTATTCTCAAATTGATTAACCATAATTTAAACTTATTTATACATTTAGAAATGTTTCTAACAGAGAAACAGGAAAAAGAACAGGGTTTTGCTAACAAAAATATTGGAATTGTACTAGGCAGATATATTGTTTATAGCACTTAAGGTACATAAATAATAAGTAATAAAATGAAATATTAAAAGGTGAAGATATAAAATAGAAATGTGTCTATCAAGCTGATACAACGTTAAGTAAATAAATGAAAGAAAATGTATCATGAAAATATAAGCAGAAACTTGACAATTTTTAACTGAAAATTATTGAGATATATAATAAATTAATGAGCGACAAACGACTTCGAAAAGGAACATAAACTATTCGTGCAAAAATGGTTGAAATGTTGGAATTTCCTTGATATTATAAAATGATTGCCTACAAAATAACAGTAATTGGTACAGTTATAGTGTACTGCATTCTAATTAGCTTCATGTCTTCTCGTATTGCATAAGTTGTTTCATTAGTGTTCCGTTTAGCATTCTTCCTTAAGAAAAGATACAAAATAAAATCGTAAAACGAAAACAACGAATCGAATTGCTTTACTTCTGAAAAATAATTTACTTCATGCAATTGTACTCGATAAATGAATACAACAATTTAACGAAATCAAATATAATCGGTGAAAAAGATTCGAAGAGCAACGTAACAAATTTTAATGAAATCGTAGTTTTATAATCAGTTTCTGTAAGATTTAAAAATATTAGGTCAGAATGCACGTATAGAACTCTTCAAAAAAAAAAGACGTAATTTTGGGAATCGTGTCTATCGCGACATCTGCCAAAACATTACAAACAGTCTGACACCAATTCCACAAAGGGGAGCATAAAAGTCACGCGAATTTCTTATACGAAACATGTCATTGTTTCATGCAACGAATCATATTTATTCTCTACACAAGACGTTGATATAAAATATCTCGTTTATCCAGAGATCAATTCAAAATGGAAAACCCTCGGAACAGTCCGTTTTCCTGGCCTCAATTGTTTACGGTATTCTATTCATCGATGATTTTCTTCGACGCGAGTCTGCCGCGTTTTTTTCTTTGCAACGACGGCATTATTAATTGTTCTTTATCGATGTTGCGTAAAAAGCTTTTCGCCAAGCGAGATTCAAGGACCGTTACAGAGCAGACAGAAGCCGCGGACGCCGCGAAACTACGCGAAAAAGTAGACGTTGCTTTTTATGGTTAAAACGTACGCCATCGAGAACGGCAGTCGTTTCTTTTGTAGTATCGAAAACGCGTCTAAACGACATCCTTTACGCGGCCGCGATGATGATTAATCGGCTATCTCGTTTCGCAGATGGAGAACTTAAAGGCGACCGTAGGCACGAACGAACTAACCGATACAAAGGCTGGCCTTTATCGAGCACTGTTGGCGGAATTTCTAGGCACGATGCTGTTGAATTTCTTTGGCTGCGGATCGGTCATCACCGCGAACGTCGTCGCCATAAGTCTCGCCTTTGGCTTGACGGTGGCTGCCGCGATACAAGGAGTCGGCCATATTTCCGGAGGCCACGTTAATCCTGCTGTTACGTTCGGTTTAATGATTGTGGGCAAGGTAAAACGAATATGATAATTATTCTGTAACGTTAATTGTCCATTCAAAATAAATTTCACGAATGATACATTTTTACTTTGTTCTGATCAAAGGATTTTAAAATAATGTGGTACCAAACTCAGTGATGAGCCTTCTTCTTGAAAATAGATATTATAATAACAGTTTTGGCACATTGCAAGTACTCGTATTTTGTGTAAAAATGTACACATGAACAGACTGTTAAGAAGCACGTTTGAAATTGTTATGACTCTTAAAATTACAAGTAATAGTGTCGAGTAATTATTTTTTCGATATTTCACGCATATCAATGGAATTTTCTCTGAACAAAATAATACAAATAATAGTGTTCGTTGGTGAATGTGTAATTTTAATTGAAAAATTTGGAAGAAAAGAATGCCTAGAGTCAGGGGCCATTTTGTGTTTTCGGACCTAACCATCAACGTTGAATTTTATAATTCTCTAATTGTAAGTAATAAAAGATTTTTTTATTCTATAGGTACCAATAATTAGAGGATTATTGTACGTGTTGGCTCAGTGCGTGGGAGCAATAGCAGGATCTGGTGCATTAAGGGCGCTGTCCCCCGAAAGAATGGAGGCTGCACTCGGAGTAGTGCAACTTTCCGAGGGTGTTACGCCTGTACAAGGTTTTGGAATAGAATTCTTTCTAGCCTTCATACTAGTTCTCGTCGTGTGCGGAGCATGCGACGCAGCCAAGCCACACAGTCGAGGAATGGCCCCACTCATAATTGGACTCGCTGTTACGGTCGGCCATCTTGTTGGAGTAAGATTTTTCGAATTTTCTACATTCCGACAATCTAACCGAAGAATCCAAGAGAACTTGCTAAACCTCCCACCAATTCTAATGGAGGAAACTCCGTCATCAATTTAACGAATAATTAGTTAACAAAAAATTTTTATATTTTTAAAATTTTTAATTTTAAATATTTGTGATTATAAAATGCAAAGATTATACGATAATCTAAAATTAATATTTATAGAATATCGATTAATTATAAACTTTTCGTACAATTAGGAGAAAAATCGTAAATGTTTTTAATAAAAATTATAAATTGTAAAATTTCCTTACTTTTCGAAACGATTTAGTCAGACGAACTTTTACATAAATCTAAATTATTAAATATCAGATTTTCATCAAATCGCGTATCCATCTTCGAAAAGAAAATGTCTACGTGCTAGGTTAATTTTGTCGTAATCGATTAATGCAAATATGGGAAAAGCGTATCTTTACCTGAATCATTGTAACAGGTACCAAGAACTGGCGCAGGCATGAATCCAGCACGATCATTGGGCAGTGCTGCTGTGATGGGTGCATTTGACAATCATTGGGTTTATTGGGTTGGTCCGATTCTTGGAGGAATGGCGGGTGGATTGGTTTATGAGCATGCAGTCGGTCCTGCGAAGGAACAGGAAGAGCAGTACACCACTGTCGCAAGAGGACCAGTTTAGTTGGAATTTATCTACCGAAGCTAAAAGAAAATATACTTTGAATTTCATTTTTGGGCCAACCATATTTCATTAAGTACAATGATATTAAATGAGTATAATAACTTGATTCGGTCAGGTCTATAAAATTCTCGTTGTAGAATCTTTCTATGTTTTATTTATACATGCATATACATATAATTTGAGGACGATATAAAATAGTTTTTTTTTGGTTAAATTTTCGATCGTCTCTGTTTCACAGCAGTTCGAGTACATAGACAGTGGAAGGGGTGGACTTTAAGAAACGAAGATACAAAGAAAGATTCGAAGACGGGAATGCTATATATATTTTTTTTTTTGTTTATATTGCTTCTTATTATAAGTGGTTGTCAAAACACAGTGAAAAACATGCGAAGTATTATTTTTGCAGCTAGAGAGCCTTACCAGTAAGAAGGACGTCAACCCCGCTTGATCTTCCAGCTGCTGCTAATCGTCGTATTTTATTATAAATACTGTCCAACTTGAAAACTCGAAAACTGGCTGACGTCAGTATTTCGAGATCGTAACCGTAAATTGTATTCTATTTCCGAGTGGTTTATTTATCATTAATTAAAGTATTCTAACCTTCCAATAATTACATTTTAAGCTTCTCGATTAATATAATTTAATTTATCACATTTCCATATATATTCGTTGAATTCGATTACATATACTTGTTTGGTCTGCATGATTTATAAGCGCGTAGTTCTCATCAATAATTCGCAGCTACTTTTGTAAATTAGAATTTATTACATCGATGATCGAAAGATATTAAAAACCAAAGATCGACATTGCCCAAGTAAAACTTCATGGTGGCGACATCTACCATTACATAAACGCGATACGTTTATTGAATAATGTGAACGACATAGTCCCAATAAATACTGCAAAATTTATTTAATTTTTGTCATGTATTTAGATATGCATTCGCAATCATTTAATGAAAGTAATTGTAGTTAAACGTTAGAAGTTATTCTATATTATTTTCACGTGTTTTATTTATCTACGTGTAGATAAATATCTCGTTTGTGCTATTATACCGTAATAAACGATCAGAATATAATGTGTAAATTGTAACGATAGTATGCTTTCAGTATTTAATCAATTTTTGTACATCCTTATTGGTGGTATGCCGATGACTATATTCAAATTCACTACTGTTTTGTATCTATTATATTTATAATTATAAGATACATATTATTTTTATAGATTGTACATCATAGTACGACGGAAATAATATTAACAGACATGTAATCATGTTTATATAATATTATAATAATATTATATAAAATAAAATATTAATATTAAAATGCATACCTAAATATGTCCTATATCCTATTGCATAAAATAAAATATGCACGTTTTACGTAAAAGTTAAATAGAGTGGATTTATCTATATTGCATGGGCGGAAGGTTTTCCTGGAAAATAAGCAACACGTGATTTTACATTTACACACCATAGTTTGTATTTGATACACAGCTTCAAATGTTTATAGAATATTGAATAATCTATGTACCGTTTCCATTCTAGTCTCGCACAATTATCATTAAGTATTATAGTAAGTTTAATTCTTTAAAGTACCTTGTGTTCCCAATAATGGAGTCAGTTGTGAATAACAATGAGGAAAAATGTAATACGATCAAAATGTTTTGTCAATAGAATTGTTATTACGAACAAAGTATATTCGAAACAAAATATAACTTCCAATGTATATACAAATGTCTTACGTTCGGTAATTACATGCACATATACCAGATAATAAATCAGAGATATTTAAATTCAAAAATTCCTCCAATTGGATCGACGCAATTGGCACAATTGAGATAATAACGCAGATATCAAATTTCTTGATACATACACAAGGTATACATGAATTCGTTATTATAATTTAAATAAAAATTTTCTTTCATGCTGTTATGTTCATTAATGGATAGCACGCTTTGTTTTCATACTTCACTGATACCTTTCGTAATTAACATTACAGAAATGATTCAATAATTATCACACGGAAAAAAATCAAAGATACATAGGGAAGTTTAGATGCAATATAATAAGATTCAAGTTACTTTAAATTCACGATTTCTTAATGAATTTAATAATAAAACAATGAATATATTTCTCTATATCTGTCCAAAATGCATCAAAGTCGGACTTTCAATTTATAAAATTGTAATCAAAAGTGTAACATTGATTAAATTCGAGCTGCTGGTTTTTAAATCTCGTCCACCTTCTCATTTTACAGTTTCTTCTGTAAGGAAATTTAACCTTCCATTTGTTGAAGTTTATCTTCAAGACTATCTTGACTGTCATTAGTATCGTTTAAATTTATTGTATGATTTTCATGGTCAAGTTCAATCACAGAGTCCCCTAACTGACTCTTTTGAACTTCTAAGACATTATCTGAGGGCTCAAAAATATCTGTAGCTTCGGAAAGATCTTGTTCATCTAAAGACAAATTCGAGTTTTGTTCGGGTTGTCGAACGCCTGGATCATCCTCAGATTTGGGTTCTGTTTTAATGTCGCCTCCATCCAAATTCTCTACGTCCATTGGTGTAGCATCATCTAGTTTCATAGACGTATCTTTTTGGGGCCCAGATACATTAAGTTCTGGTTTTACTGAATCATGGATGACGTCGTCATTATTATCATCCGCGTTAGAAGGACCAGCTTTTGGTTTGTCAATATAATTTTTCTGAGAAGATTCTCCGAAAGAAGATATTTGAGTGAGATTACTTAGAACCGTTTCTTGCATTTTCACCACAGAATCAGCAGAGTCTAATATACTACATAATTCTCGGCTCATCTCTTCCACTTCTGATGCCTCGTCCGTTTTCACAACAATAATTTTCTTATTTCCATAAACTTTCGAGCTGGTTATCAATGGTTTACCTTCTCTTCTAACAACAGGTGTAGATGTTACCTTTGGCAGTATTACAGGTTCTTTCTGCGTATTTTCATCTAGTTTCATCTCAGTTTCAATTATATCTTTATCTGATTCAAATTGATTACTTTCCCTTATTATTGTCGCAGGGATTGTCACTGTTGGTATTGTTGCCGAAGATGTTGTTGACGAAGGTGTTGTTGTCGAAGGCGTTGTTGCCGTAGGCGTTGTTGGCGAAGGTGTTGATGCCACAGGTATTATTGCAGCAGATGTTGTTGCGGTAGATGTTGTTGCAACAGTTGTCAATGATGCAGTTGTAACTGTAGACGTGGTTACAGGAGTTATTGTTGTTATATCATTGTCATTATACTCCTGTTCTTCATCGTACATGCTTTGCTTTTTCTTCACAAATACTCTCTTTAGAGGTAACTGCTGTTCATCCTCGGACTCATCGTGACGTTCTGGTGACAATTCTTCCATAGGCTCATATTCCTGCTGTTTGCGTGCTTCTAATTCTTCAATTTTCAGGCGTTGTTGTTCCACTCTCTTTTCTAGTTGTTCTAATTTTTCCTTAGTTTCCTGATCTCCTGCCGTAGGGGCGGGTTTCTCAACAGTTGCTGTAATTTTTGTTGTCGACGGCAATGGAGTTACAGGTTGAGATGTTTTTAATTCGAACTTTGGAGATTCATTTAATACTGAATCATTATTCTTTATGCTTGCTGCTGGTCGTTGCGTTGCCGATGATTGCAACACAGCTTGAATCAGGCTCGAATGCTTATCAAGAGGCTTCTTTACAACAACTCTCTTTACTACATTACCAGTTGGTAATTTTGCCAGTTCCGCTGGATCTATTATTGTACCATCAGGATTCATAATAACCTCTCTTGTAGTATCACCTTGTCGAATGATTCTACGAACAATCACCCGTTTTGTAACTTTGTGACCTGTACTAGCCACCTGAGGAGTGGTACCTGTTGCATCTCCTTCCTTTGTTACAGATGTACCTGTTGGAGTTTCGGTGCTTCCACTAGGCTTCCTCATAACAATTCTTTTTATTACTTTGACAGTACTAACAGCTTTTGGAGTACCGGTGGTCGGTGTAGATGCCTCAGGTTTATCATCTTTTATGGGCGTTTGATTCTGTGAATTATTCTTTGTAGATGTAGGCGATTCTTTACTCTGTTCTTGAGTAACATTTTGATGTTTCAAAGGAATCTTATGTTCTTTAAACACAGACGCAACAATTTTTTGAACTTGTGCTTCTGTTTCATCCACACGGGAAGACTTTGCAGATTCTTCAGGCGGCTTCGATTGTACAGTAGAATGTACAGTTTTTGTACTCGCTTGAGGCTGACTACTATTTGGACTTTGTTTCGTTTTCGTATCTTGCACTTCCCGACGTTGTATAGGCATCAATGTTTTAATTGTCTTTTTGATCATATTACCATCTTTATGTCTTACAAATACCACTTGCTCCTTTTGATTTTCATCCTTCTCAGTCCTTTCCGTTTCATCGTCGCTTTCGGTTGGTTTATTTGGTTTTGGAAGTTTCTTCACAATGTATGCTGGTGGTTCATAATCGTCATCTCCATCCGAATATTGTTCCTCTTCTTCATCCTCATCAGAGTCTAATTCAAGTTTAGTTTTATTGTCTGGCTGCAATCCATCTGGTCCCATTTTTTCACCTGCTTCAATATGTTGTTTTATATGAGTTACATAATCTGCCCTATTACGACAAGACTCCTGGCAGACATCGCAAGTTAATCCCATACCTGTGCGTTTTGTGTGCGTTAATTGATGTACTTCCAAGCTCTCTTTACGTTTGAATGCTTTACCGCAATCTTCACAAACATGACGTTTTTCTACGGAATGCGTGCGCATGTGTCTAGTTAGATGGTGAGACAGCAGGAACGAACGAGGGCATAGTTTGCATAGATATGGTCTATGTCCAGCATGAGTCGTTAAGTGACTGGCCAACTTCGTACTCGTACGGAATGCCTCCTTGCAGTACTCGCAAACAAAAGTTTTATCTTCGTTGTGTAGGACTTCATGACGCTCTAAACCTTGTTTGTATGTAAAACGTTTGTTACAGATGTTGCACTGGAAAGGTTTCTCTTTCTTGTGCACAGAATCTTCATGCTTTTCTAATTCTTCGGTTGTAAAGAATTCACGATCACAATGTTGACAACCATATCTTAGTTCGTCCCTATGAACCTTTTCATGACGTTGCAATAAATTTGCTCTTGAAAATTGTTTGTTGCAAATTGGGCAAGAAAATGGTTTCTCTTCCGAATGCGTAGTCATGTGTTTTGCAAGATCATATTTAGAAAAGAACATACGGTCACATTCTGTACACTTGTAATTACGATCTCGATGAGCTCTTTGAACATGAAGAGCAAGAGCTTGACGCAAAGGAAATGTACGATCACACTGATCACATGCATGTACTCTAATCTCACCTGGTTCTAATTTCCGTTCTTCTTTAATACGCTTTGTATCTTGATCTCCTTCGCTACCACCGTCATGCTCTTCTTCGTAAAAATCATGCGTTTCATCCTGTTTTTCAGTTTGTCTATCTCTTTCTCTGTCTCTGTCACGATCCTTATCCCTTTCTCGTTCCCTATCCCTATCCCTATCTCTATCTCTTTCCCTTTCCCTTTCTCTCTCTCTTTCTCTTTCTCTTTCTCTTTCTCTTTCTCGGTCCCTATCCCTGTCCCTGTCCCTGTCTCGTTCTCGTGTTTCTCGTCTTTCTCTATCACCATTGTCTACACGAGGTTTCTTTACGCCTTCATTTTGAGATCTCTGTTCCAAAGGACGTTTATTATTTGTCTCTGGAGGATCATTAGGAATCGGTGGAAACGGTCTTGGTAAAACACCAGACAGCGGATAAGCTCTCAGGGCTTCGTCTGCTTTCTTGCACTGTAGTTTAAATTTATAAGAGCGATCCAAATTCCAACGACACATAGTGCATATCATTTGAGGCATTCCATCAGCTGCATACACCTTAAAAATAATACGTTATGACATGTTAATTAAAACCTTTTTAAGAGATGTAAGCTTATACGAACAAAAATGAGAAGAGATTGTAACGTTAGAAGCATAAAAAGTACTACATGAAAGTTTTTACAAGTTTATTTTCAAAATATAGTCCTGACTTATAAAAGCAGAACATATAATAATATATAATATTTGTATATAACACAATTATGTACAACAATCGGGTAGAACGTGCACGTTGATCGTTTTCCCGCCAAAGTGAATTATTTCAATCTATCATAACAAAAAAGTATTTCGTAAAATAAGTCGATAAATATATTTTTCAAATCATTTTACATCGTACATATAAACATCGAAAATAGGGAATATCCTAATGACTTAAAAACAAGACAAATCAGACATCATATTTTACCATCGCAGCATTGAAATTATATTATTGATAGCGTAATTTCACTACGTAAATCATAATTAAATAAGGGTGCGTATTGAAATTTCGTTCATGCTTGATTATCAATCGAACGTTGCTAACCGTTCCTATCATAAATCATTTATTTACCAAACCTGAACGAAATTTCATGATCGATTTCAACGAAAAGTCGTTGACTATATACGACTCAACCGGTAAACGTGACATCTGTGTTATCAAAACCGTTCGCTGTTTATTAGCGTAGTATGCATTTTGTTCGATAAAGAGCATCAATTTCAACAAATGATTCGACGAAAACCGATATCGTCGACGTACGAAACAAACGGCCGCACAGAATCAGTACTAACGCATAACGTGGCATGCCTATCACAAGAATATGGTATAAAAGGTAGAGAATAGGTCGGTGGCGGTCGATGCCGTCTTTAAAGAAAATAATTACCTCGATGGCGACGCACGACATGATCTGCAGGGTAAGCGGTACTTGAAACGGCTTACTATGATCCCTTTCATAAATGAAGTTCAGTGGTTCGGATTCTGTCAAGCAAAACCGACAGACTCTCCTCGAACGGAGCGGCGCCGGCCTGTTCTCCATGTTTTCCTGCCTATCGTTCGTGCAGGCACCCACGAAGACACGCACTCACGCGTCTCTCACGTCGTTCTTACCTCGAGCCCTCTCGTGCGTCGTCTATACACGTTTTAACACACTGCGAACGTAATCGCGTTACGAACGGATCGCTCATTAATCGGAATTTTAATAAACGACGCCGAGCGTCGGTAAGCGTCGCGTCGCGAACAACGAACGAGCGGGACGAAGTATACACCGCTATGGCGCTATTATGGCGGTCCGAAACTCGTTTCCTCTGCGTGGCGTCTTTCGACTTTCGAGGCTCGTCTGGCTGCGGCCTTTCCACACTGGCGCCGCCATTCATCCTCTTCCTTCCGCCGCCATCGATGCTCCGTGGGTAGCGCAGAATATTCCTCCCGTCGCAATAATCACACTGTCGGTATATTAAACTTTCCCTGGCAAACAATATTTATTCGATCGAACGAGTACGTTTGGAATTTTCTTTAAAAGTTTCACGATATATATTCGTCGAATACCGACTTGTATCAATAGTTTGTACGATTCACGAATTTTTATTTTGATTATCCTCGTATTAGTAAGCAATCGAATGCGGTCGAAGCGTGACGTTCGATCGGTCGAATGTGCGTGCAACGATATCTCGAGTTTTGTTATCGAACGCACAAATCTTGGTTATTCGGCATTTTTATAGAAGAAAAGTATACATTTCGCTTTTAATTCTCGTTCGACGGCGCGTGAGATGAGCTGGGTTTCCGGTTGGAAATTATTTAGTTACTTTAGCGAGCGAAGGCGAAGGCACACTACCAGTAATCTGGAATCTCTGCGCCGGGATATCGAAACGGACGTTCACTTACGGCCAGCGGAGGATTTATTACGAAGTTTGCGAACCGATGCGAAGCACGGTTTAACCACGACCGTTGCACGCGATCTTTTAAACAAAAACGGGTTGAACGCACTTACGCCGCCTAGAAAGACTTCTGGCGCGCTGAAATTCTTGCGTAGATGCTTCGGAGGATTCTCTCTGTTAATTTGGGTATATTATATAAATTTAAAAATATGATATACATTTATGATGGATTTTAGTGTAGCCATATTTTTCCTTTAAATTTCAAATTCGTTATACAGTTGCGGGCAAGATTAAGTAAACAGGTACAAAATAGGCACGAATTAAATTTAATCAAAGTACTATAACTATTATGCACTTAAGTTTTGTACATTATACAGGTAACCTTCCCATAACACGGTAGATAGGTTCCATGTTGTGTGAAACCGTGTTATATGAGACTCAGAATCAGTATAAAAAGGGGAGTTACGTTCCGAAAATTTATTAAAAACAAATATTTTTTTTTAATTCTACGTAAGCATATTATTTTAATTTAACGCAACCTTAATTTAATAAATTATAATTTGTTTATACAGGGTGTTCGGCCACCCCTGGGACAAATTTTAATGGGAGATTCTAGAGGCCAAAATAAGACGAAAATCAAGAATATCAATTTCTTGACTGAGGCTTCGTTAAAAAGTTATTAAAAAATTAAATTAAAAAATTTCAAAACGTTTTGAAAAAATTATCTTTGGTTGCGAGGCTCAATTACAATCATTTTTGGTGAATACACGTACACCGGAAATCCTATCCATTTTCAAGAAAAAAATTCGAGTAGGTGGTCAAATTTTTCGGTGAAATGAAAAAGTTTCAAATCGTTCTAAAAAAAATATTTTTAGTTGTAGAAGTCAATTAAAATCATTTTTGGTCAATAGACATACCCCCGAAATCCTACGCACTTTCGAGAAAAAAATTCCTTACCGAAAATATAATTTCTGGCCAGAAATGTTACTCCAAAATGTCATGCGAATCTTTAAAATGTCATAACTCCTGAACGGATTGGACGATTTTAATGTTTCAAAAAGCAAAGAACGCGTATTTTAATGGAGAATATGTAGAGATTATGCAAATATTCGAAAAGTTGTTCATTGACCCCGCAAAATGAGAAAAACCCCATAAAAATGGTCCAATTTTTAAACGGCCATAACTCCTACAATAGTGAACGTATCACATTGAAACTTTTTTCTAAAGTTGAGCTGATGGGCATCTACAAAAAAGTATTAGACAACTTTTCTGTAGGGCGTCAAATAACATTACTAAAAATGAAGAACGAACTAAATAAATTCAATTTCGCCTAAATTTTTCGGCGAAATTGAAAAGTTTCAAATCACTCTGGAAAAATTATTTTCGATTGCAGAGGTCAATTACTATCATTTTTGTTGAATATACATACACTCGAAATCCTGCGCATTTTCGAGAAAAAAATTCAATATGGACGAAACTTTAAACGTTAATAACTTTTTAACGAAGCCTCAATCAACAAATTGGTATTCTTGATTTTCGCCTTATTTTTGCTCCTAGAATCTTCCATTAAAATTTTTCCCAGGGGTAGACGAACACCCTGTATAATATATAAAACTCAAATGCATAATAGTTATACTATTTTGGTTAAATTTTATTGATATTTATTTCCTTTACCTGTCCACTCAATTTAGTCCGTAACTGTATTAGTTTCTTCTTATAATAAATTTTTTTATAGTCGACGTTCTAACTATACTCGTTACTCCTAATCGCATAAATACGAATAAAAATTGCATTATAAATTCTATTGTCCTGTATTGCGAAATTCACAGTAAAAATTGGGATATTGATCGACGTGGGAATAATTAATGTTTGTAGGTGGGCGCTTTGCTGTGTTTCTGCAACTATGTCTTGGAGTACGAGACCTACGGGGAAGCCTCCAATGAGCACCTGGGTCTGGGTATCGTGCTGGTGGCCCTGATTTTGGTCACGGGGATGTTCAGCCATTACCAGGAATCGAAAAGTTCGCGGATCATGGAATCGTTTCAGCAGATGCTGCCGCAAAAGGCGAAGGTTCTGAGAGACGGTGCGAAGAAGGAGCTCTGCGTCGCCGAATTAGTCGTCGGGGACATTGTCCTTTTGGAAACCGGTGACCGCGTACCCGCTGACATTAGGATCCTGGAATGTCAAGGTAAATTCGTATCGCCGTAGTTGCAGCCGTAACTTTCTTATTTCTCGAGAAAAAAGGTCCTTTCTCTTCGTTGACGCTCGAGATATCGCATTGATTGTGTTCCTTATAAATACAATTTCACAGAATCGTGGAACTGCTCGTGCAGCAAGCTGTTTAAACCATACCGCGAATGGTGGACTCTGCTCGTTGTACGGAAATTAGTTTTATTTTCCATTTTTCTTTACCAAATAGTAAAGTTCACCGACAATTTTTAATTTTATATTTGAGATCTCTTTATCGCGATCGCTCAATTTTATTACGTTTGTGCGTTGGAATTAAGGTCTCAAGGTCGACAATGCCTCGATTACTGGCGAATCCATACCGCTTTTGAGAACTGCCAACGTTCCTTTAACGGACTCCGTCGTCGAAGCTAAAAACTTGGTTTTCTTCTCGACCGATATAGTTGAAGGTAATGGCGCGATGAAAATAATTTTATAGTCGAGTGTTTTAATATTCTCGCTATTGAATTAATTACAACTGTATTATACTATGCGTTTTTATTTTATTTTATCAATAACTTAATACCTGATAATTTTTTATTTTGTGTGTTTCCTCTATTATTCGAGTATAATACGTTTCATACTGAAATTTGCGTTACAGTTTCGGCATTATGAAGCTATATTATAATAGTCTCTTCTTCGACATCCTAATTTATTTCATAATTATATTTATAAACGTATATAAAAATTGAAGAATTGTCCATAGAAGCGAAAAAATTCATATATCGAATGTTTTTTTATTTTTATTGGAGCATCTAAGATAATATTTTAAATACGTTATAATCGTAAAGGAAAATAGATGATTTCACGATGATTTTAATCGATATAAGGCGCAGTATTAATCGTACGATATTTTGTAACGTTTAATTAAATTGCGTAACGAATTTCTGCACGTTCGTTTCTTAAGTGTTTCCTACGGTTTCCCAAGCTTTTCCTGCGATATTTCTCAAACTTTCGTTAATGCACAACAGGCACCGGAAAAGGAGTCGTAGTTGCTTGCGGCGACCACACCGTGATGGGACGAGTTGCTAAACTAACGTCTAAATTGAAGCCAAGACCGACGCCGCTTTCACGCGAGATTCATCGTTTCATGAAATTGATATCGTCCTGGGCGATATTCCTCGGTCTCCTTTTTTTCACGTTGTCGATCGCGATGGGCTACAATTGGATAGATTCCATAGTATTTCTGATCGGGATCATAGTAGCGAACGTGCCGGAAGGACTGATAGCCACCATGACAGTCAGCCTGACTCTAACGGCGAAGAGAATGGCGAATCAAAATTGCCTGGTGAAGCATCTAGAAGCTATAGAGACGTTAGGATGCTCGGCTGTTATTTGCAGCGACAAAACGGGAACGCTCACGCAAAACAAAATGACGGTAAGCGTGGCTCGCGATTGGCGGCCATTCTTCTTCTGGGGGATCGGCACTTTCGAATGATTTTCTAATCGAACGTTTCATTTTTAACTCCTTGCGATGGGAAGATTTTTTTTTATATTTTCTTTTGACTGCAATTCGGTTTTCGTATAATTTGGTTATTTTCGATTGCATTCTGAGACTTGTGGGCGTTTAAGGTAGTAATGGTCATTTAAATTGCAGTGGCATTAGTAAATTGTGAAAGATTGTTTTGCTATTATTTGTAATTTAAAATTAGTCATGGTATCCCTTACGGGAAAAATATACGAAAAATCTAATCCACATTGCAGTGATATAATATATTTAATACGAATGGAGTTATAACTTAGGAGAATATGTTTTACCATTATTTGTAATTTGAAATTAGTCATGGTATCCTTCACGGGAAAAATATTCAACAAAACTCGAAAATAACAATCGATGGATACTCAAAATAACAGTCAAGTCGAGTGTGATTTTGAATGAGAGTTACATTCAATTTCAAGGTTTACTCTCAAATGTATTACTCTAAAATAATATTGAAATTCAGAGTTTACACTCAACTTGAGAATAAAGTCTTAATATAGGTGTTAATTGAGCACTAATTTGAATTGATGCCTAAACGAAGAAATTTTTAGTGAGCATTTAAGTTAAATATCGTACATTGTATTTCGTAATGTATTTACATTATTAAGCTATGTTAAAAATAACGTAGAAACAAGGCGTTTATTTTTAGTTTCACTAGAAGTAAGTTTCTACCTTTATATTAGAAATATAAAACATAAAATATAAACTATGAAATCCTTTTGAATCCAGTAATGAGCTTTGTTTTCTTTTAGGAACTACTAGACAAAATTAAAAAAATATGAATAGATAAATAAAATTAATCATTACTTGTGCAAATATTGTCTCTTTTTTTTGTATTTTTGCATTTATTCTTCAACATCTTTTTAAGCTGCTGCTCTATTTTACCCTGGTTCAAACCAGAACAATGTTGTACAACATAATATAGACAATTTTGTTAAAAAAACTTTTTAAAAATAACAGACATTTCTTTTATAAGATACAATTTGTGTATATCATAAATTAACGTTATAAAAACAAAATTTGACTGACTGAAGATTTAACAATTACACACGTTTAAAAAATTTAAAAAAAATGTAGAAATCTGTGATAAGGTTATCCAATTTGATATTACGTGAAGAAAATTGTCACGAAATGAAATGAAATTACTCGTTAGCTATTAGATTTAGGGCTAATAAAGGTCCTATTCTAATAAATTCTTCCATATTTTGATACAAAAAACATAGTATTCTATTTAAAATAACAAAGTTGGCCTTCAAATTAATTATATCCCTTTAAACCATGCAACTTTTGTATACAAAATTTGTTTGTCCAACGCATATTTTGGAAATCGTAGAGGATTACAAGTAGCGTGGACCATCCTGCACGTTTGTCTTTTAAACGTGAAATAATTCCAATTAAAAATATAATACAATATACGAATAGATCTCGTTTTAAATATCACAGGTTCGACACATGTGGTACAGCGGTAAATTGCGAGAAGTAATGGCCTCCGACACGTGGAAAAAATACGTCAAAGACCCTGGATTCAATAATTTAGCCAGAGTGGCTAGCCTGTGCAATCGCGCCGAATGGGCACCTCTGGCCGAAAACGTGCCACTGCCGCCATTGCACAAAAGGAAAATTTTGGGCGACGCTTCCGACGCAGCTTTGCTAAAGTGTATGGAAGTTCTGGTGAAGGGGGGCGTGGACTCTTACAGGAAAATCTGCACGAAGGTACATCAGACTCGCGGTCGCGTGTATCACGATACCCTAACAACCCATACAGAAAATTAGATGTTTGTTCTGAAACGCAGGTGTTCGAAATACCATTCAATTCGACGGATAAGTTCCAGGCGAGCGTTCACGTGTGCCGCAAGAAGCATTTCGTTTTTTTCAAGGGTGCGCCGGAAAGCGTTTTGGAGCGATGTTCAACCGTGGCGTTCGGGAACGAGACGATGGAGCTCAATGACGAAATCAAGAACGCTTACACGGAATCTTGTTATATACTTGCGAACAATGGCGAACGTGTGCTAGGTTTCGCTGATTTCGATCTCCCGGTCTCCGCTTTCCCGCCGGGTTTCGACTTTAAAGAGGACCCTCCGAACTTTCCGCTTCAGAATTTGAGACTGGTAATTCGATTTTCACGAAATACAAGTACATTATTTATTTGATCGTTCTCTAGGAGGACTAGGGTGATTTCCAGTTTACATTTTTCTATCTGATCTAATAATATAAAATTGAAATATATTATCATTTATTTAATCCTTGTTTAATAGGCTTAGGATGACTTTCAGTTTACATGTTTACATTTTTCTGTATACTTGCTTTCTTAACCCTTTTCATTATTTACGATGCAATCTAATAATATAAAATTTAAATCCATTATTATTTATTTAATCCTTGTCTAGGAGGCTTAGGATAACTTCTAATTTACATGTTTACATTTTTCTATACATACAGAGTACTATAATTGCACAAGTTTTTTTAACCATTTTCATTATTTGCAGTACAATCTAATAATCTAAAATAGAGATACGGCCCTTAAAAAATTCTCGTAATATCGAACGATATTTAGCAAGAGTCTTTCATTGTTGAAATTTAAAAGAACACATGTCATAAATGATTTTAGCACGCGTTGTACGCGTGACCGACAACCGTGGACTATTTCATCGAGAAAATATGATTATCCTTGTACGATCGCATTAATTTTGCTACGTCTATACGCTGGGGATTTCCATAAGCGTATCGATACTCTACATTGTTAGATCGGGCTGATCTCGATGATGGATCCTCCGAGGCCAACGGTGCCAGACGCGGTGTATAAGTGTCGTTGCGCTGGAATCAAGGTGATCATGGTGACTGGTGATCACCCTGACACGGCAAGAGCGATCGCAAAATACGTCGGCATCATCACCGAGGATCTTTTGCACAACGATAACAATGGAACGAAACGTTCGATTGTGGTGACCGGTATGGAGTTGCGTGATCTTCAGCAGCCGGAGCTCGACGGTATTATAAGAACCTATCCTGAGATTGTTTTCGCAAGAACGTCGCCTGTGCAGAAGCTTCAGATCGTCGAGAGTTGTCAACGATTGCATTTGATCACCGCTGTCACCGGCGACGGTGTCAACGACTCGCCAGCACTGAAGAAGGCCGATATTGGCATTGCTATGGGCATTGCAGGTAGTTTTTTTAAATAAATGTTGTTATTAGACTGTGGATTTTTATTAATAGAATTAACGAAATCAAAGGTTAGGGATTGTCTCAACCCCTAAATATAATAATTCGTACCATGCTTTAAGTATTTCTTATATTTTTGCATATTCAAAGTTTATTTATTAAATTTCAGTATTACTCTCAATTTGAGAGTGAACTATGAATTTGAGAGTATAAGTATTATTTTGAGTATCCATTGATATTTTAGGAATTTTTTAATATTTTTATTTTTGTATTAAAATTATTAAATAATTAGTATAGATACTCGTATACTACTGTTATATCTCTGCCTGTGCGTACATATTTATGCGAATAACTTCTTTCAGTGATGAAGAACGACAAAATACCTGAAGGAGCATTAGATTAGTTGATTAATACCTTCTTTAAACAACACTTCGATGTCTATAAGAACAGTGTCAAATATTAAGAAAAGAAAGAAATAATATTATTTAAGTAGGCTAAATATAACTGAAAAATGTTCTCTATACTATATTTGTCTAATATAAAATTATTATTCATCTGTGCTACCCTCTCCTTTTTTTGCGTGATAGTAAAATGTAAATTGGTCGTTGAGCAAAAATGAGTTTCATATATGCTTAAACAAAACTGTGTTAGAGCATGTGTGGCGATAAGTTGTAGTCTCGTTGGCATTTCTCTTTACTTCATGTTCTTTTTTATAGCAAAAGAAGCGCGTTCGTTCGATATTTGATGAAAAGTAAAATGAGAAGCTTCTCACGCTTTGCAAGCTAAAAGCATTGTAGTTCTTTTTAATAAAAAACTGACGTGTAATCAGTATACGTTGCATTTGAACACTACAGATTTCCTTATTCATTTACAAATATTAAACAACCACCAATAATTTAATATTTCTATTACTATTCGTAATTTATGATCGTGGGATTTTCGAATTATCCTTTTCCATTTAAATCTATAGGATTTGTTTCAAATTCCTCAGTCTTGTTTGCCCAACGACGAGCAAAAGTGTAAATACACGACGCTAATTTCGCAATGAAACGTTAATACTGCAAATATTTTGAACTCACTGCCAGTAACTAAAGACAAATAATTAAACTTACAAGATGAATGTATTCCGTAAAACCTAATATGTACTTTACTTCCATTTAATGTGGTAATCATATATGTATATAAAGTATTTGAAAAACTAGGTATGCATACAATGTTTTGTATTTTTCTACTCGAGTAATATTTGTTACATTAACGGCAACAACTAATATTTAGTTCATTTTCTCTTATTAGCCGCTACAGCTTTCATTCTTCTTGACATACTTTCTATCTAATTATTATATTTAGGAATAATACTGTTCTTTTTATTTTCACTCGGTTTCACTTTTTGTTTCTATTCTAAAGCAATTATTAAACCGAGGAAATTCTAATTTGTTCCATTTATCGCGGAGGTACAATGATCGTCCAATCACAATTCGTAAATTTCTTTAATACTTATAATTACTATAAACGAAGACAAAGTGTTATATTTACTATGATACATTCATTTTATAATTTCAATCGTTTTCCTTTTAATAATGAATTCTATATGTTTATATTTACTATAATATTTATTATATATATATTTTTCCTTATTATATTTAGTTTTCTTTTTATTAATGAATTCTATATATTTATATTTATTATGATACATTCATTTTATAATTTCAATTGTTTCCCTTTTATCAATGAATTCATCCCAATATTATTTCTTTATTATAAAATTAAAAAGAACTTAGGTCCGGTTATTTAAACTATTCTACTAAAGCACGTTTTAAAATTCCGGTCTATCATTTTATTTTTGAAACTCTCAATAATATCATGCATAATCTCGAATGCTTCAATTTATAATGTGTAGTGTGTATTTTCTTCCAGGATCGGATGTGACGAGAGAAGTCGCAGACCTGATCCTATTGAACGATGATTTTGCCTCGATAATTACTGGCATCGAGGAAGGTCGAAGACTATTCGACAACTTGAAATCCAGCATAGCGTACATTTTGGCCAGCAATGTTCCAGAGATAACGCCTTTCTTGGCATTCATCGTTTTTGGGATTCCTTTGCCAGTAGGCGTGATTTGTATATTGTGCATAGATCTAGGCACAGATATGTGGCCTGCAGTTTCACTTGCTTACGAGAAGTCTGAATCGGATATCATGTTCAGGTACCAACATACTCGCCAACTTCTTACAATATTAAATAATATTTCACAGGGCCCATTTTAAACTGTCCACGTTTTTGAAAAGCTGACATACCTCCGAAATCCTACGCACTTTCGAGATAAAAATTCAGGAAGGTGCCTAAATTTGTCGACAAAACTAAAAAATTTCAAATCGATCTGTCAATCATTTTTGGTGAATATACATACCCTCGAAATCCTACTCACTTTCAAGAAAAAAATTCTTTAACGAAGCCTCAATCGACAAATTAGTATCTTTGATTTTCGTCTTATTTTGGCCTCAAGAATTTCCCATTAAAATTTTTCCCACGTGTGACCGAACACCCTATATGCACACACATTTAATCAGAAACTAAAAGAAAATATTGTAAAAAGGGTCCCTAGAATGAAGTACTAATGTAAATATGTATAGTAATATGTAGAATGACTATATGGCGTCATATATTAAAATTCCGGTCCCAGAAAGCCTAGAATACCACACGTGGATCATCTCGTGAGTCGTCGATTGATCTTCATGGCTTACGGACAGATCGGCATGATCGAGGCCTGCGCCGGATTCTTCACATATTTCGTTGTAATGGCGGAACACGGTTTCCTGCCCGGCAAACTGCTAGACCTGCGTTCTTTGTGGGACAGTATCGTTGTGAACGACCTGCAGGACAGTTTTGGCCAGGAATGGACGTACGAACAACGCAAGATTCTCGAATACACTTGCCACACCGCTTTCTTCGTCAGCATAGTGATCGTTCAAGCGGCCGACGTCATGATTTGCAAAACACGCAGGAACTCTCTTTTCCGCCAGGGCATGAACAATTGGGTCCTCAATTTCGGGATACTGATCGAGATAGCGGTGGCCTGCGTCGTTTGTTACGCGCCTTACATGGACGAAATCCTCAGAACCTATCCGTTGAAGTTCCAATGGTGGCTACCTGGAGTACCTTACGCCATAATCATTCTGATCTATGACGAGCTCAGGAAACTTTGGATCAGAAGACATCCTGGTGGATGGTGGGACCGCGAGACTTGTTATTAAATTCACTAGGACTCGAGGAATGCAGTAATAATTGTTAAAAATGTAAAATCAAGAGATTGGTAATCGAGAATATCAGGAATGCAAATGTCATAATCATTCTGATCTACGGCGAACTTAGGAAACTGTGGATCAGAAGAGATCCTGGTGGATGGTGGGACCGCGAGACTTGTTACTAAATTCACAAGGATTCGATGAATTAATGTAGTAATAATTGTTAAAAATGTAAAATCAAAAGATTGATGATCGAGAATACCAGGAATGCAAATGGCGGACGTGGTCTAAATTTTCATCGGTGCAGTTCGCGCTGAAAAAGTGCGAACGTCGGCCATCTCGATGTACAGTTAACTCGATGCATCTTTAACGGAGTACACGAGTATGCAGAAGAGCAATGGTTCTCGTTTGGTTCTACGCGGTCGTCGAGTGTTGTAACCTCGCCGAGGGAAAAGTGGGGGCTGCATATAAGGCTCTGGGACCCTCTCTATGGGGCCCAGTAGTCTCTAGTCATCAATTCCTTCACGTTCGAAGAACCGTGACTCGATACCGACACGACGAAAAGACCTCATTCCCCCCCTAGTTGATCCTGTCCTCCGTCAGGATGAAGACGGAGGTGTTTTGTCTACTGATCTGTCTCGGTGAGTAATCATACATTTACCGGGTTACCGAACTGGTTGCGATTTTGCAATCGCGTGCACGCCTGAAACTTCTCTTCTTTTTCCGACCACGCTCTCGTACATTAGTGAAAGTAAAATTACTGCTTAGAATGTATGGAACATGTGGAACAAAGGAATTTCGAATGGTAGACGAGCGACGATCGGTGATAAGATGACCTTTGCACGAAGTATTGTTTTACTTCGCTTAATAATTGCACCACGACTCGACTACAGTTTCAATTGTTTATAATGCTACGAATACTCAATATGGAAATTATTCGGATACAATACACGGTGTTATACTGTTCGAAGTATCTCATAGAATTCGCATGACTCACGGATGGATTTTATTGATGCATTCTACGTAGAGACACGATCTTTGCTTAACCACGACCGAGCTTACGCCATCGTTTGTTATTGAGAAATCAGTTCGCCTTACACTTCTATAGAAAGTTTAATTTCTCCAGGCCACGTGTGGGCTCGCGACTTTAAAAACAGATTTACAAAAGAGTTTATTATAGCTGTTAACGAGATTCGCTTTCCAGCAATGGAAACTAGTATCGTTAAACAATTTTCTTCTCTCCACTGGGCACCGTTAATTTCTTTTCGGTGCACTAAATTCAAACGTTGCAAACTCGTTCAATTTAGATAATTATCATGTTAAAATAATAGCCTGGTCCGAAGAGCGAAAGTTTAAGTTTTACTTGCAAATTTATTGTAGACAAAATATTAGTCCAATCGATTAAACATTTTGTACAGAATTTGTGCATGCTTTGGGTACTTGTGTCAATTTTGTCAAGTATCAATGACCGTTTGTTCTTGAAATATAAATTCTTGTATCGAAGGGCGTGAAAAGCGTAGTTGCTTAATGGTGTAAACGATTCAAGCATTTTCTTTTCAAAGAAATGAATATTAAAAGAATATTATTAATAAAAATTTACAGCATGATTATAGAGTAACTATAGAAATTTCAACATACAATAATATTACACAATAGATGTACTTTATATTTGCATAGCTTCAAATCGGTTAATTACATCTTGAGTTGCAATTATGGTTACTTGTTAATTAACACCTGTTTAAAAAATAGTGTTTTGAAAAGATATCTTCAATCATATACACGAAATTTTTATAAGCTTTAGGTAGACTTTTTATGTGTACGTTAGAATCGAGCAAACAAGATGGCGTAGATCTGCGCATGCGCGGTGCCCCCGGGCGCAAGTGATTCTGGTTCCAACAGTGTTTGAAAATTCGAAATCGAACAATATTATTGTTTTTCATTATATTGTGTATCACATAACCTACGGGAATATTTAAAAATTTAAGACATTGTGGAAATTATGGTGTTTTTGAGAAAAGTGCTGATAACACTTCGTTTGGATTACATGGTACGAATTTTAATAATCCGGTTGTCGAAATTTATTCTCTGCAAGTGGTATTTTTGTGCTTTTGTGCTATTTTCAAAAGACTACTTAATATTGTGAACGTGTATTAATAGGAATTAACCATATAAAGTAATATAAACACAATTTAATTCAACGTTTTGATCAGTTTGAGACCAATTTAGAATACAAAAGCGTTTATTAATTTTAACAATCGAATATATAGCCAACATTTTCAAAAAAGACTATTTAATATTGTGAACGTGTATTAATAGAAATTGACCATATAAAGTAATATAAACATTCAATGCAACGTTTAGACCAGTTTCCAAGCATCGTATTATTGTTTTTAAGAAGCATTTCGAAGAGGACCACGTCTGTGCTCTATTTTAGACCAGATAAGACGCTTTAACACAGCCTGATGGTGATCCGTGGCTAGGCAAACCTGTCTAGGATCTTCAAAAATAATTCGAAATCTATATAGAGTGTTGGAAAGTTAACAGGTCCGAGCGATTACACGACATTTAAGTTCTGGCCGATCAGATACACGGGAGCCCGGTCACTTTCTCGCTTTCTTCCGTTCGCGAGGTCGACCGGCGTTTACGTACGACCGGCGTTTTATTCAGGGACGCAAGACGTCGCAACGCCTTGAAAACACTCCGACCAGTTGACCCTCTCTCGCCGTTCACCGTTTTTATTTCTTGCTCTTTCCACTTTTTTCCCCTCCATCCCTCCTCCATTCGTTTGTCATTCTCGTCCACCGACGGGAACACATCCGCATTGTGTTACCACGCCTTCCGCTGGGGAAAAGAATATAAAAATAAATTCAGCTTCCCAACAGAGAGTTCCTTCGACGACGAAAATAGGCAAAGGAGGATAAAATCAGTCGCAAACAAGGTAGAGATTAACGCGACGGAAAAACCATCGTGCATCAGCATGAATTCGAAATAGTTAGGAAAATAAGTTGACGCTTCGTTTGGATTATACAGAATCGAGCAGACCTTATGGTATCCACTTAAGAGTTTCCTGAAAGCAATAACAGCTTTTTCACACGAGCAGGCGGAAGAGTTTTCACGTTGGAAGTTGTCTCGTCGCTCGTGTGCTCGGATTCTGCATGAAAGAACCCTTATTGCATCCGCTAGAGAGACTTTTTATTCGATTGGGGAAGCTCCTTTGAGTATATGAATATTAGAAATTTATTTTAACATAATTAGAAAAATTATCTCTTCTATCTCTGTGTCTTTTGTAAACTCAGACACCAAGGAAAATTAATTGGAGTTCTGCTGTACATACGTGAACAATTCTTATATCGATTTGTAAATAATTTACTTTACACAGACGTGGTTCTTTGGTTTGTATAATTATACAAACTATCTCTTCTATTATTGTTTCTTTTGTAAACCCAGACTTAACCCAGACACTAAGAAATATTAATTGAGGTTCTACTGTATATACGTGAACAATTGTTATATCAATCTGTAAATAATTGACTTAAAACAATGTATGGAATTTGAAAACAAATCGACACATGTGTTTGTTTACTGTAATAAATAAAAGTTATTAAATTTAATTTAATAAAAGCTAAACGTCAAATGCTGTCACTTCTATTCAATTAGTAGCAGTCGAATGCATTTGTTTTCATTGCATTATAGTTAGAACAATGATTGTTATTATTGTAACTGTATTATTGGCGTACATGTGCAATGGCGGATCCATTATTTGGTAAAACTACGTAGAAATGCGCCAATGGTAACGTTTAGATGCTCTTAAACGAGCAAAGCACAGTTGTTTTACAGTGAAACATAATAAAGCTCAGCTGAACGTCAAATGTACTGTAATAAGTAGACTGCGGATCTTTATGCAAATTCATATTTATATTAATAGAATTAATAAAATGGAAGCTTTGTAGATGATTGTCTCACCCTTAAATATAATAATTCGTATCTTACTTTAAGTATTTCTTATATTTTTGCATATTAAGTGCATTCTGTAGTTTCTTGAGAATTAAAATTCCCCATAAATGCATAAACATCCGCAGTCTAGTAATAAGTATAAGTGGAAGATGAATTGATTTTTTTTTCTTGACAGTTTATTCGATGAATAATAAGAATTAAACGATTGGTTTTCAGGCGTTGCCGTTGCATTGACGAGGAAGCAAGAGGCAGCGGAGCAGAGTCGTCGAAAGGTGTCATTGCCGACGCAGAAGAAACAGCAGTCTGCCTCGGCGGAGCAAGAAGAATACGAGGACGAGGAGGAACTTTCGGACCAGTGTCCTGAACCCAACGGTTATTTCCCTGCCCCCGAACAGTGTGACAAATACTACGACTGCCGGGATGGTAAATTCACCGAGAAACTGTGTCCTGACGGTCTGGTGTTCAACGATTTCAGCCCCCAGCACGAGAAGTGCGATCTACCGTTCGGAATCGACTGCTCCAAAAGGCCAAAATTACGTGAGTATTGTCTTGGGTCAAGAAAAATTAATTTTAAAAATTAAACGTTGAAGAAAATACATCTAGACAGGACTCTTGAATTTTAAGCAGGCTGTAAATATTAATTTATTGATAAATTGTGGGTTTACTAGTCTAAAAGCAATTGTCTAAAATCTAAATTTCGTTTTTGTGGACAATTTGAGCGATTTGGTATGGAAGTAGTGAATAGAAGCTGTAAATATAAATTCAGAGAGGTTTGGTATGGAAGTTAACATGTTAATATTGATTTTCTCTTGTCGATAATAAATTAACTTGATAATGTTTCGTTGCTGTGAAATATAAAATAATTCTTTGTATTTTTAAGTATTTCATATATTACTTTATATTTTTTACCTCGACCATATCATTTGTATTAGAGCTTGTCGATTAGATAATAGAAGGAAATTAAATTTTAAATTAGATTTTCTTTGCAGGGACGTAGCGTCCAAATTTGATAAACAATTTGAAAGTATTGCATAGATCAACGAGTTAAGCAAGACTCCTGAACTTTATTCCATCTTTCCATAATCTTGTTTATTTCAAGCAGTGTAAGATGACATTTGCTAGATAGGCTACAGGCCTAAATCATAGTCTAATCGCCTGGTCTTATCCTTGCCATTCACCGATTCACACTTAAGCCCAGGGCACTTATTACGAACTCTACTCTCGAGGAAAAGTAAGAAAATGAAAACGTACTATGACCCAACGTTGTTATAACTTTCTCGTTGGAAAAAGTTAAATGTTTCAATTTTTTATTTTGACCTCTAAACTTATAATTTGTTCGATCTCTATAGTTTCTGATTTCGACAAATTCCATCAAAGAAAGAAGAATATTTCTATGGAATAGTTTAGATTATATATGCTACAATGTTGAAACGAACACGATTGCAGAGAAACCACAACCATCGCCGCATTGTCCAAGAATGCACGGATACTTCGCCCACGAGGACCCTCGGATATGCATCACGTTTTACTACTGCGTCGAGGGGAAGTTCAATATGATCACTTGTCCGGACGGTCTGGTCTTCTCGGAGAAGACTGGTATCTGCAATTGGCCCGACGAGGCGCAGAAGAAGGGCTGTGGTTCCAGGGAACTTTTCAATTTCACCTGTCCAAAGGTTGACGACTCTGTCGCTGCCACTCATCCACGATACCCTGACACCGAGGACTGCCAATATTTCTATGTTTGCGTGAACGGCGAGATACCGAGGAGAAACGGTTGCAAATTGGGGCAGGCCTTCGACGAACGCACAGGAAAGTGCGACTGGGCCAGAAAAGTACCCGAATGGTAAATAAAAACAAGATTAACGCTAGAACTATCAAAGTGCTCGAAATAATCGTAGTTTCTAATAAAAATAGTAAAAAAATTACTTGATTAAATTTTTATAAATTCAAAAATAGTTTCTTTGTAAGAAAATGAATTAAGCACTTTTTTCCATTATACATTTCTTCGGTACAAATAGATACAGCATGACTGTAGCGTTAGCGTTAAAGATGAAACGTACAAGAAACAAAAATTGTTTCTATTTATATATTTTAATAAAATTTCAGCAAAGACTGGTACAAAGGTCAGCTAACCGACGAGGAACTGGACGCGTTAGAAAATCCACCGCCAAAACCAAAACCTACCGGTGGCCACAGTAGAAGAAAAGGCACCAAACCCTCGTAGATTTAAGCCTAAACACCCATGTAGATTTTATTATTCATTGACTTATACTATCTGGAGAATAAAACTCTTTCTAACACGATCACCTTTTATTCCGCGAAGGAAGTAATTTATCGAGACTTGAAAGTCTAGTTACGTCGTAGATAACCATAAATCAAACTTTTCACAACAGAAATATACGTAAGCCAAGTATTTTGTTAGCTATCGTGTAAATTATTTCAATTAGAGCTGCAGTTTTACTAGATCGTTTGGACCCTCTTATGTAACGCTTTGGAATTTGTTTACAGTTTCGTTACGCCATAAAATAAAGTTTTATCGTTGATTGTCTTCTATCAGATCGATCGACTTCGTGTTCGTAACGTTGGCGCGAGTACTCTACTTTTTCGCGATTGAATAATGGATTCAAATCGCGCGTTGTCACGGGAATTTTCCCGTGCAGCAGTGAAAGTGCTCCAAGTCAGAAAGTTCTTCGCATTTCACGGGAAACGCTTCCGAAATCCACTCGGTTGGACGGTGAATTAGCAACGCGATGACTATTCGGGATAATAAATTCATTTTAGCGTCGCTTTCATAATTATTCATTCGAGGCGATTTTATGTAACGAAACGAAAGTCTCTTATCAAAATACGCGTATCTCCCCATTACTTCGAAGCTTTTTCAACGATAACATTAACGGTCCAATCTATACGCAGTAATAACGAAACTGGATTAGTTAACATTAATCACTTTTTGTGTAAACGACGACATTCATAACTCACTTTTACCTTCTTTAATTACTTCTGCAAATTGGACTTTAACGCCACATAATTTACGATGTATGCTATATCATTATTAAATACAAAATTTCATGATTCAAATAACAATTATACAATGTAAATGTTTTTATTTTGCTTGATTTTTAGCAAGGTTCAACTTTGAAAGGTCGATTGCCTCTACAGTTATTGTTTAGATATAAACTACTTTATTAAATAGAATGCAGATTAATACGAGAAGTATAATTAATAATATTAATTCTTGTCACTGAGTTTGATATATTATTTTTTTTTTTGTAGCTGTAAAATTGGTCCAAATGAATCTAGATTTAATATTTTTTAACATAAAGTATATATTATTAGAATATGATTTTGTCCTTGGTTTGATAGATGTTGATAGTTTTATAAATTCTGTAACATTCGATCGTTTCTCACAAAAATGTGAATAATATTAATATTTCTCATCGAGTAAGATAAGGTTAATATTTTTTTTTAAATAATTCGAATCCAAATAAATTAAGATTTAATATTTTTTAATGTAAAATTTATTATATTAGAACATGACTCTTGTTTCGATAAAAATTGTGGTGTGATGAGGAACGGTCATTATTTCCAATATTTGATACAATCGTTTCTCACAAAAATATTAACAATATCAATGCTTCTCAACGAGTATGATTCATTTGGCCTTTTTAATTAAGATTTAATATTTTTTAACATAAAGTATCCTATATTAGAACATGATTCTTGGTTCGATAAAAGCTGATATGAATTCTGTGGTTAAATATTAAAAATATTTTTTAACGTAAAGTGTCCTATATTAGAACATGATTCTTGGTTCGATAAAAGCTGATATAAATTCTGCGATATAAAGTGGAACATTATAGGACAATGTTCGCGTTGAAAATAAATTTCCGACTAATCTATCGAATAAAAAGAAAATTCTATCGAGCTGTATAAAAGGCTGCCACCGCGAGTCTCACAATTACTTTCATTACGAAACGTTTAAAGACCGCGACGATCGTTTATAGAGATCGTGGTAATTTTAATTTTTCCGCGAATAGCGAAGGACACCGAAGTGAGAGTACACCGCGAACAAGAGGAAGAAGATAAATAACGACGGCCGTAGAGAGAAGAGAGAACGACGGGTAAAAGCGCGTGGTCCTTCTGATTAATCTCGATTCTAGACAGTTATCCATCGATGAAAACGCGGCGAAAGTGGGGAAGAAACATCGGATGTAGTGGGGACCAATGGGGTATACCCTGTGCCGAGATCCCGAAGAGCTGCAGTGTTTCGCGACGGGGACAGCATTTCAAAGGGACACCAAAACACATACTCTCCAATCGACTCGTCAGTGACCAGTGATTCCGTGATTTGGACAGAAAGTACGAGAAAACAAAAATGATCAGAACCTCCGTTCTAACACTACTGCTTGCTGCAGCGATTACGCGTAAGTACAATTTCACTCGTGAAACAACTAAAAATCCAGAAAATATATTCAAAACTTTCTTCGTAATTTATAAATCACGAAAGTAGAAAAGTTTTACGCTTTCGATGAAAAGACGTTTACACGAGGTTTTCGATAATCGATGGAATCGATTTTGTACGAATCAGAAAATTGTTCAGACCTTGTTTCTTTCAACCCAGACCATATTTACCAGAAGTTTTCGATCGAAAGGAAAAATAGTGCATGGTAATCGGCGAGGAGAAAAAGAACGGTTTCACTGAAACGGACGACGGGGACTTTCTCTTCGGTTCTGGCACGGTCTGCAACGCAGCCTCTAAAATGCAACAGAAATTTCCGGTATCGTAATCGTCGCGTAAAACCGGTAAAATTTCATAACGATTTGAATATCTGAAAACTCGTTGTCCATCCTGCGGATAAAAATTGTTCGTTCCGTCTCCGGAGCGGGTATTAATTTCGCGCGGGGAGTGCGTAAGAGACAGCGGCGGAGCACACAAACTTTCTAAAGCGTAAATGTCAGATCTACTGCTCTGGGAATGTTGCATAAGTAGCCGCGGCGGTAATCGTCCCTGCACACACGTAGTACCGATAAATTACATAAAGAAACAAAACAATAAGATCGACTTATGGATTCGTGAAACGGGACGAGAGAAGTCGAGAGTGGGTTCGACCACCTCGCGTTTGCTATCGCGCTTCTGGGCTACTTTATATGCCTCTTGAAGCGTGGCATTGATTTCCGGTATATCGAGGCGAACGCTGCCCACGGCGCGGAGAAATTTCTGAAATTTGTTCCACGCTATTTCGTTGCTTCGGGCTCTCGAATTTTTTAAAGCGAAACGAATTGGTAAATTTCATCGGTGAAATTTTTATTTCGTGCTTGATATTTTCTTCTTCGACGCAGTTACGGTGTATTTATTTCTACCAGAGGAATTAAAACGATAAATATGCAAATAAATGTGTATTTGTTCCCTTATAGAAGACTACGGTAGATTTTCGAAAATCCGTGTCGAGCTAATCTTTTACAAGTTTTATTAGAAAGTACGTATGGATCATTCTGATTGCTTTGATAATTTTAGCGTTAATGACTCGATGGGATACTTACAAAATATTGTTTTGTTGTTTTTATATTCGAAAACCGTAAATGCGACACAGATTTTAAAAATTTAAAATTTTAAGACACATTTTGGACTATATAATTGATTTTTTTTTTGTAAATATTCTATTATATAATTTTGTGTAAGTTATGGTGAAAAGAGTTTTCGAAAAAATATGATTTTTGTGACGTTCTAGACGGTGCAATAAATTGCTTTGCAAATATGGCCAGTACGAGGACCCGAAACAAAGCGATAAATTGTACGAATTGTCAAACGTTCCTTCGAAGAAAGTTTTATTTCATGCTTGATATTCTCTTCTTGAGTGTTTCTACGGAAAAAATACACTTCTTACGAAATATTGTTTCGTTATTTTTGTATTCTGTAATCCTAAACACGACACAGATTGTTTCTAAAATATTACAGACACCTTTTGGACTATAATTGATTTTTTTTGTAAATATTCTATTATATAATTTTGTGTAAGTTATGGTGAAGAAAAGTCTTGGAAAAATATGATTTTTGTGATGTTCTAGACGGTGCAATAAATTGCCCGAGCAAAGATGGCCAGTACGAGGACCCGAAACAATGCGACAAATTCTACGAGTGCGCGGACGGCATTGCAACGGAGAAACTTTGTCCAGATGGACTCGTTTTCGATCCTCTGAATCGTAAAGTCAACAAGTGCGATCACGTATTCAACGTGGACTGCGGAGATCGGCTCGAACTACGTGAGTCCATCATAATTTTCACTTTCCACGGCATTAAGAATCGTGTCGAGCTTCCTGCATTAGCAGCCACACCGACGAGTTTTCAACGTGTATGGCTCGCTGTGATAAAAGATTAATTCGAGTAGATTGTAGCAATGTAAGCAAGGTTCAATATTTTGATCGAACGTTTCACTCGATGCAAGCAATCACAGATAAAAAAAATTCCAACTAAATTCGAAAAGAAGATAAATTCGCAATAGTTTACAGGGGATAAATAAAAATATTTATTCGATCGAGTACACTCCTACATATTGGTCATTGTATCTATTATTCGAATATAAATTTGCCCTAGTGATTCAATTAATATACATATATACATATATATAATTTTTTTTTCATTTTATAAATTAGATCGAACCAAGGGCAAAGTGTCATGTTCTAATATAATTAACTTTATGTTAAAAAATATTGAATCGTAATTTATTTGAACCAATCGTGCAGCCACAATTACTAAAAAGAAAAATGTTACGTCAGACTCGTCGAGAAGTATTAATACCATTAATATTTTTCTGTGAAACGATTGTATCGAATATTGGAAATATACGCTCCGGAATATAATCGAGATCTCCGGAGTCGGGAACGTTACACGTGTCATTCGCTTTTGCGGTTTGTGTCCTTGACATACAGGATCCAATGACGATAGGTAGCGAAAGTGCTTTTAATTCCCGTTATAACTCTCTGACCTTCCCAGAGCCGCCTCAACCGACGAAGAAGTGTCCGCGACGAAATGGTTTCTTCGCCCATCCGGATCCATCTGTCTGCAACATCTTTTACAATTGTATCGACGGCGAGGCCATAGAAATCACGTGTACCACTGGATTGCATTTCGACGAGTACAGCGGAACCTGCGTTTGGCCCGACAGCGCCGGTCGCGAAGTAAATAATTATCCTACGTTTGATACGTACAATATACTATATTGATAGTTCTTTCTTTCAGTCACCCGGTTGGTTTAATTGCGATTTAACGATCATCGTTCTATCCTCATGCGTTAGTAGTTTGTAATTGTAACAATTATGTTCACCCGAATAATTAATCGATTTAATAGGTAACTATTAGTTTGCTGATTGATTAATTAACGGTATCTGGAAACGGCTGCGGGTGCTATGGACGTACCCTGTCGATGATCGTAATGGACAGCCATTTCATTCTTCCTAACCCGTTCTATTTGTAATTCTCGTATATTCATTACCATTTCTTTAATATCGATGATTTTTCAACTGTTGATAAATTACGTTGCAACTGATTCTCGATTTAGTCCCTGACATATGGTAACTTCTCGGTGAAAGGTTGAATTTTTATCTCTATCGAAGTTTCGTAAGAGCCTGTTGTCCGCCATTAGCCAGCGCTGGGATCGAATTTCATCCAATAATGAAAGATAGAAAATTAAAAAAACCATCGAAACATCGAAGATCAAAAGCTTTTATAAGTTGGCTGCGGATCTCTATGCAAATTCATATTTTTATTAATGGTATTAATGAAATGGGAATTTTATAGAGGGTTACCTCAACCCCTAAATATTATAATTCGTATTTCTTATATTTTTGTGTATTAAATGCATTTTGTACCTTTTTAAGAATTGCATAAACATCCATAGTCTATTCATACGCGTAGAATTTGACAAAGATTTTATAGTTTTATAATTTTATGGTACTAATTGTTTTACTCAGGGCTGTGGCGTGGTCGATAAAAAGTTAAAAGACGGATTCGAGTGTCCGAAGGAAAGTCAGGTCGACACTAGAGGAATGGTCGTCGATCACCCTAAATTTTCTCATCCGGACGATTGTCAGAAATTTTATGTCTGCCTCAATGGCGTAACTCCGCGCGAACAAGGCTGCAGCGATGGCACGGTTTACAACGAGGAGCAACAAAGATGCGACGCCCCTGAAAATGTCGCCGGATGGTGCGTACAAATCGAAACAATTCTTTTTAAACAAACTTTCAAGATATCATAATAATTTCAACCTAACATTTTGCTGGATAAAAATCGTATATAATTCCAGTGACAGCTTATAATATAAATTGAAAATAACTCTTGTTGCAGCGAGGATTGGTACAAGGACGACGACAAAAAGCCATGAAGGACCTTTGAAATTTATATGTCCCGCATCGGGATCCTGACATCATCGTAAAATCACATCATCCTCGTTTAGTGTGTAATCATGTGTGTGTTTAGATACTTGAATGTTCGTAAATAATAAATTCTATTTTACCTTAATCGTGATTTACTGATATGTCATTTTCACTCGTGGCCTGATCCTTTATATAAATTCGAGTCTTGGTATCGTTAACAAAGACTTAATCTGAAAAATTATTAGTCCCTGTGTAGTTAATAATTTTACTTCTGCGTACAGAAAAAATCTCATTTCTTTTAGTGATTTCTTTTCAGCTATCAATCAAGTAAATCGATAGAAACTTTCACCTTGTTTTGTTACTTTTGTTATTTCGTTCTTCGATTCATCCAATAGACAACTTTCATATTAATGTGCTTTTTGCACGGGTGTCCAATAGCAGCTGATTTTTTACTTGTAATAGCCAGTTGTAGCATAGTGTATCGAGTGTTTTTTATGCTGATAAACAATGAAAGTTGATCCTATCTCTGTTTGTGTATGTATTATTATTTATTTATTTTATTTAATCCTTCCAGTTTACATGTTTATTTTTTTTTTATTTAGTGAGTTATAATTGCCCCATGCTTTCTTCTCTCTATCCATTATTTACTGCGCAATCTATAATTTCGAAAACTTACAATCTACTAAATCAATTGAAACTGAGAATCATAAAAATAAACAAAATAAAACTAAAGACGAAAGCTTAACTTTGGTTCTCTTTGGTACATTCTATGCATAAATAACCGTGAGTATGAAAATTTCAGTGACTGCATATTTTAACTTGCCTTATCAGTTATTCTAAATACTCGTTAATCGTTAAATGTCGATTATACACACTTTCTAATGTTCATTCTGATTTACCAACAACATTCAGTGAAAGTGTTTTTATATTCATTCTATTTCGAGAACCACATAATTTTGTATTCATTTTGTAGAAAGTTTTAAAGCTTCGAGCATAATCAGTGAGGTTTGGAATTAACTAAAAATTACTCGACATTGACTACTGAGCTTATAAAACTTCTTTTTCCGTCTCTTTACTTTAACTTCGTATTTTCCAAGTAAATGGTCTGTTTTCTTCCGGTTTGTCTTCCACATAATCTCTTTTCCTATTCTTTCAAGCATAGATATTTCCCCTTTATTGATCATCCTTTTTTTAATATTTTACGATGGCAGATATTTATTACGTACGATATTTTTCTTATATTTCTTTCTTTAGATTCCTTCGATTTTCGCCCATTCAACATTTTTTCCTTTCCTCTTTTAAGAATGTTTTCATGTTTTTTTCTCCTTTTCTACGCCTGTGTTTATTCTTATCCTCTAAATACGTCTTAATCTCCTTTTAGTGTCTCCTAACCAGTTTGTTTTTTCTTTTCTTCGAAATTCCATGCTCTTCCTTCCGCTCTGGTTCCCAACTTATCTCTCTTTACCAACTTCGGGGTGCATCTTTCAACCCCTGCCCGTATTGCCTATCCTGTAAACTTCTTTTGTATTCTTTCTATCCCATCCTTTCTAGACACAGATCTCTGATCCGTATCACTACGCATACCTCCGATTCCAATTTCCTGCAAACTTACACTTTCTTGTTCCCTGTACTTGTTTTGTCACTCCCACGCCTTTCTTGATCCCTCACATTTTGCTCTTTATTGCTTTTCACCATGCATCCTAAGTACACAAATCCTGTTAGCTCTTCAATCTTCCTTCATTCCCGTCTCTATTGTACTTTCATTATACCTATCGTTTCCCCTCCTTCTTCTGAACCTTATAACCTTTGTCTTCTCGTACATCGTCAGTGTCTTCTCCTCCAAATACATTTTCAGTCTTCTAAAGATTCTTTGGATATCCTTTTCTATTGACAGTATCACAATATCGCGTACGATGACGCGATCGCCATTCTCCTCTTACACATCCTGTTGCTATGTCCCTTATCGAACATCTTCATTGTTCATCGTTTCTCGTCGACTTCCTTTCTTCTTTCAATACTTGTCGCCGTTTTTTTCCTTGCAATTCGTTATCTTGAGTCGTATCTTATTCTCCTCTTAATTAGATTCTACAGCTTTTCTTTGCATCGAGACAAATTCATCCTTTAGGCTAATAAATTCATCTTTTCCTTCTCGATCGACTGGTCAATATGTGCTTTTATATTTGAGTTATCGGAAGAAATAGTAAAATTAATATTGCTTTCGTAAAATAGATATTTTATGTGACAAGAATCTCTTTACAATCATGTGAAAATTGATGAAATTCGAAAAAACCATATTAAAGTATCAAGACTTAGCTTTAAAAGTGTATTGAGTGCTTTCCTAAACGACGGTACCATTTCTAAGATGATATTATCAAATTAAAAAAAAAATTCATCAATTGTGAGGTCAAACATTTTTCTTTTCAACTTTGATCAACGGAACATTAAGCTTTAGACACTCATTTTCAATTCTATCTTGTGTAATTAGGTTCCAAATATTTCCAAGTTGATATTATCAAATTTTTAAAAATTCCTCAATTCTGAGGTGATGTATGAAGTGAAAACATTTTTCTTCTGAATTTTAATGAACAGAATATTAGGTTTTAGACTCTAGTCTTCGATCCTATCATGTGTAATTTGGTCACAAATATTTGTACGCAGTGTTATCGCAAATTTAAACAGAACCCTGCATTTTGGCTATTTAGATGCGACGTCTGATTCTCGCCGCCTACATTAACGTTATCGTAATACCACGACAAGGATTTATTATTTGAAAGGTGTGGCTGAAGTCTGGGATAAGACTGACATTTGCGTTGAGCGTACTTTATAGAACAAATAGAAAATAAGTATGGGATATTCGGAGCATTCCAGAAGAATTAGAATAAAATTACTTTTAAAGCGCCAGCATCACGTTCGGCTACCAAGGCCAATAATTACAGTTACACTTTTTGTTTTGTAAGTACTACTAGACGTGGTTTTTCTCTCGCCATTGCAACGTAGATTACAACATTTTCCACCACTTCCAATCGCGAAGTTAATGGCAATCCCTCCTATTCTCATTGGCACTGAAGAAATGCAGCAAGAAAGCATTCAGTTTTTGTTGTCGGAGGGTGTACCATTGAAGGCTACTAGCACAGCATGATTGGATTGAAAAGTTGAAAAATGGTCGCAAGAGTGTCAAACACGAGGAAAAATCTGGATGACCGTATACGTTCATTGTCGATAATTCTGAACGAGTGGAAAAAGTAGGAACAGTGACGCTTAGATGTTTTTGGATCGATGATGGAATTATCAGGAGAGGTCTTACGAGATTATTAGTTTGCCACTGAGACTAATAGTGTGACGCACATGTGACACGTCTCTTGGCAGAAAACATTCTCTTCTCAGAGTGGAAAGAAATGAGCTCAATGATGGATTGAAAGCGTTGGAGAGTTAACGAATGACGTTATTGTGGAGATAATTCTCGCGCTGGCTACTAGAGGGCTACGCTCAACTTATCTCTCTCACAAGTACTCGACTTCCCCCTGCTATCTCGCTCATTTCTTTCTACAACAGCACGCCACATTATTATTAGTTTTACAAATACATTGACTCATCCTATTATAAATTCGAAACAATTGTTTACTTCCTTTTCTGACAAAGGACAATCTAAAAGAAAAGATTGCCAAGTTTACCTAAACAGTTCTCAGAGAACATTCCATGCAGACTATTTTGGAACGGAGAATAGCATTCAAAATTGTGAAAAGATTTATTCAAACTGTAATTTACCCAACAATTTTCGAGTCAGAGGGCTTTATTATGCCACATGCATCAACCGAGGAACAAACAAACTACTGAAACTAATACAGGCCGGTACAGTGACAGAGTAATATCAAGAATGGACTCGCCATCCTAATATGGAGAGCCATTTGTTGCAGCCCTCTCTTGAAATAGATTGTTCGGGCCTCTCTCGGTACGATGCCTCTTCTTTCTTTGGGTGCAACGTCCACTTGGAATTTCAGCCTAAGTTCGAGATTCCGTGCAGCACGCAGATGACTTTTACGATTCTAAGAAATCGTTACTCGTGTACGCGGCCGGAATCACGAACAGATCGTTCGTTTCGGGGTCTATCACCGCGATTATAAAATCACTAGACTCGAAAAAGAGGAAACAAAGCCAGTAGCAAATGATTTGTGACGTTTGGGTCAGCTTTGCATCGAATAAACAATGCATCTCTATATTTGAAAAACAGTAATGTCACGATTATAAACTTCTTCTTGCAGGTACAGTATTGGACAAAAATATAAGACATTTCGAACATTTCTATCATTTTTATATGGAGAAGAAGACAATTTAAGTGTTTATGAAAAGGTGGAAGGTAAATGAAAAATATGAACGAACTGAAAGTTGGAATGTCCTATAATGAAAAGAAATTAAAAAACTATACAAAACAATCTGAATAACTGTTGTTACGTGATAAACAGGTAAAAGAGATTTCACAAAAATAATGTGACATTTGATCAAACATTACTATTAAATAAATGTGAATTATTTTGTAATTGTTTTATAATTTTGTTCTGCCAAAATCAGCACATGTTATAATATCTTTTTATCGTATGTTCCTCGAATTTAAGATTTCAAAACTGTTTTAATTGTTCAAAATTCCGTTTTGCAGGAAAAAATTCTGAAAAAATTGAGAAAGGTGTACGCCTTCAGGCAAAATATGTAAATATTATTAATATAATTTGTATATAAATTGTAAATTACGTTTTGCTCTGTAACTACCCTAACAGTAGGGATAGCTGATTAATATTTGGCAGACTAAATTTTCTTTGGAAGGCCTATCTATTGATACGTGCAAAGTTGAATGTTGGTGATCTGTAAATCAGTAATTTTCTACATGATTAGTTAAAACTTTTATTTTTATTTAAATATTTTATTTAAATTATAATTATTAAATTATAATTATATTTTATTTAAATTCTTATTTATAATAACATTGCAAGTGATATTGAAATGGCAAGGGAGCTCT